GCTTCTTCTGGACATGTTCTTGTTGCCATCAGGGCGTCATTACACTTTACCTGCTTGTAAAACTAACCGGTTTTCAAAATCTTTTGTTCGTTCTGCTCTTTGTCTTTTCAATTCTCTGTAATTTGTAATATAATTGTACTTATATCGCTTTTATTTTTACTCATCTATTTATGTGTCTACATGTTACTGTGTGTTATGTGTGAAAGGCAAGCTGTTCATACAAATTAATAAAGTTGTCTGAATCTGAACCTGAATATGCAGTATGCAAATATGCAATGAATAAAAGCGACTACTGTCTACACATGCAGGGCAACATGAAGATTGACCCTTTACTCAGACTTCGTGCGGGCTATCTGACAAATATGACATAATGTGAGCACCACTGTTAAAACTCAAGATTTTTTTTTTGCCATTTGCTCGGGTACAAGCTTACAAAGCCACTGGAATTCTTGTGCAGATTGTTGGTCGCTGGGTCACGGACACCACACCACAGACGAACTTGAAGCCAGTTGACTCTCTGCATGTGTGTGTCAGCTGTCAGTGTTGTTGTTCTGGCCTGGAGATACTTTGTTTAGCCTGAGCCTTGACTGAAGTAAAGGTGTTTTTGTCTGCCATTGTATAAAAGATAATACTTAAGATGTTTTATTTCACAGTGTTTTTAAAAACATATTTCTTAGTTAGTGTTCTATGTGTATGTTGGCTGACAAATCTGCTTTGTACAGTGCCACCTGGTGACGATACAGCACAACTGCTACTTCCACCACAGAGTTATGTACTTTGAATGCAGCATACATGGAAATAGTGTTGCACAGTGGTTGAAGGATGTACTCAGATCATTTACTTAATTAAAAGTACTAAGAATAAGAATAACTTTATTCATCCCAAGGGGAAATTCAATTATCTGTCAGTTTATCTATTATATGTCAAAGAATTATAAAGCCTGATGGCTGTTGGTATATAGGATCTTCTGTATCTCTCTGTCCTGCATCGAAGAGAGAGGAGCCGTCCACCACAGTTTTTTTGCTCCATCAAGGTGTTGTGGAGTGGATGATCTGGGTTGTTCATGATGGCCTCGAACATCTTCAGTGTGCATCTCTCCACCACCTCCTCCAGTGTGTCCAACCTGACTCCAATCACAGAGCCGGCTCTTTTGACTAGTTTGTCCAGCCCCCTTGCATCTTTGTGTCTGATGCTTCCTCCCCAGCAGACTGCAGCATGAAACAACACACTTGCCACCACAGACTGATAAAACATCTGCAGCATCTTACTACAGATGTCGAGAGATCTGAGCTTCCTCAAGAAACAGGGGCGGCTCTGCCACTTTTTGTAGAGAGCGTCTGTGTTTAGAGACCAGTCCAACTTATTATCCATTGGCACCACCTTGATGATCATTTACTTGGTCTCTGAGGTGTTCAGGAGGAGACAGTTCATGTGACTCCAGTCACTGAAGGCTTTTATCAGGTCCCTATATTCAGACTCCTGCCCATTCCTGATACACGCCACAATAGCAGTGTCGTCCGAGTATTTCTGGATGTGGCAGGACTCAGAGTTGTATTGGAAGTCCACCGTGTACAGTGTGAACAGGAATGGAGCCAGGACAGTCCCTTGTGGAGCCCCATGCTGCTCATTAATGTCCCAGAAACACAGTTCCCCAACCTGACATACTGTGGCCTTCCTGTCAGGTAATCTGTGATCCAGGAGATAAAGGAAGGATCCACTGCCATCTCTGTGAGCTTGTCTTTGAGTATGTTGGGTTGGATGGTAATTAATGCGCTTGAAAAATCAAAGAACATGATTCTCGCATAAGCGCCAGGTTCCTCCAGATAAGCCAGGGCACGGTGAAGCATGTAGAGGACAGCATCGTTCACTCCAACGTGTTGTTTGTGTGCAATCTACAGGGGGTAGAGTTTGTCTTTGGGGTTAGGGTTAGGGTTAGTCAAGGGTTACTCAAGTCTCAGTAGGCCTAGAATCAGCCGCTCCAAGGTCTTCGTGATGTGCAAAGTGAGGGCTGCTGGTCTGAAGTCATTAAGTTCAGCTGGACATTTAATTTTTGGTAATCTAAGACTAATACCACACTGTGAAATTACTCCACTACAAGTAAAAGTTCCACATAAGTAAAAGTCTGTAAGTGTAATCAGCAAAATGTACTTAGAGTGCTCATTGTGCAGTTCTATCAGATGTATACTGTTGTATACTGTTGGGTGGTTTAATCTACAGCAATGCATCATAGTCTATATAATCATCATATGTTTGTAGCATCACTGTCCTGAGAGAACCACACAGCTTTATGAAGCTTTCAGCTTTGCAATGATGCATTTTCCAGCTGATCCAAGAGGGTTTTAAAGAGTTTATTAAGCCTGAAGGGACAGTTCACCACAAAATATATTTTTCCTCTTACCTGTAGTGCCATTAATTTATTTATTTAACCTTTATTTAACCTGGAAGTCCCATTGAGATTGAAAATCTCTTTTACAAAAGAGACCTGGCCGAGCAGCCAATCAAAACACATTAAAATGCAACAAATACAACATATAACACAAAAATCCACAATTCAAACATAGTGGCCTCTCAAGAGAAACAAGCACATGTCTCTATCACTACATTCTTTATGATGCCTTTAAATTCATCACTGGATATGAGTGTTTCTAATTTTAGATCTTTCTGAAGATTGTTCAATGTCCGAGGTGCAGAGTAGGAGAATGCAGTTTTCCCCACTCAGTCTGTGGAGTGTTAGAGATACCAACCATAGAGATGTCTGTCTTCTTTCCAATATAATGGAACTAGATGGCACTCGGCACCAAGGAAATTAATACATTTGAAAAGTAAACAGCAGTGTCTCCTTCCAGAAATGGTGACCTGGTTTTAAGGATTCATCCATACCTCTGTCTATAAAGCTTTTAAACAATGACAGATAAATCCAGATCTGGCACTGGATTATGACGATTTGCATTTTTATAGAGGTATTTTTAGCCTAGGATGTTATTTATTTATTTATTTATTTTGTGTTTCCTAATGCTACGATGGGTATTATGTTGATTTGTCTATGTACTGTGTTGTATGTTGTATTTCTACGGCTGCAGTATAGAACAAAAGTTCCCTCTCTGTGCGACAATAAAGTTAATCTTGATCTTGATCCTACTCAAGATAATCCACAGACCTTGTTGTGAGCAATTTCATGTAGGAACTATTTTCTTTCTACCAAATTAAACCCATCAACCGCATCACTGTGCAGAAGGACGAGTGCATCTACTAAAAGACGAGAGGCTCGTGCTCGTGACAGCTAGAGCAGTAAACATTCATGGTGTCCTCCTTGGCTGAGCTGTAACGTTACCTAGCTCAGTGGTGCTGGGTGAGTAAAGGCCTTTGCACACTGAGTCTGTTTTTTGTGGATGCAATTTTTTAATCCGTCATATGAAAAGAAAATCATTAAACACAGAAACCTTGCACTCTGACTCTGATGCATTTTATTCTTCTATTCGTTGTGAAAATTTGCAATACAGGACAAAATGAAAAGACATATTTCCTTCTTTGCCTATCTCCACTTGAGTTACCTATCTGGCTGCCATCACTCCCTCCCTGTCTTTCATTTGGCACCGCAGCTGCATGAAGGGGCGGAGCTGTCCTGCACATTCTGTGTGCTGTCCACATCCTCCCCCTCTTCATCATCATCCACCCTGAATATTACTATCTGACCTGTTGAACGTAGCTATCTGAGTTTTGAAATGATGAGTCTTGGTCAAACGTCTCTAAAGGCTCTGACAGATGCGACAAACACAGATAATTGAACCTGTTCTGAAAACCGGAATGACGGACTTAAGTTTTGGACTCCGTGTGCAAACATGATGTCAGGATTTGAATGTGATGTTCTGTTTCCTGTTTTATTTTGATGGTCTGTTATTTGTCTCTCCATGTCCTGTCAAGTGTCCCACTGCTCCGATTGTCTGACTGCTTTCACCTGTGTCTCATTATCCCCCGTCAGAGTATATATAAGTCTGTTCCCTTTGTTCTCTGCTAGATTGTCTTGTCCTTCGTGTGAGGTTTTCGGTGTTATTCCTTGTGTGTATTCCACGTGAGATTGACCTTTTTTCATATGTAGACCAGTGAGTTTTTGCCAGTTGATTTGGTTTCCTCTGCCTGTGCTGACTGCCTTTTGTGTACTCACTCGGACTGTATGAAAAACACTGAACTTTGGATTTCGTCTGTTTGCATTTGTGAGTCTGCCATTGTGTCTGATACATGATTGACACAATCATGTGTCTGATACATGATTGACACAACGTGAGGTCGTATTTATTTTTAGACTTGCGACAATTTCAGATGAAAAAAACAGACTCAGTTTGCAAAGGACCTTAAGTAGTAGATGCACTCTTCCTTCTGCGCAGTAATTTGGTTGGCGAGTGTAGTTTGGTAGAAAGAAAACAGTTCCTGTATGAAACTGCTCACAACAAGGTCTGTGAATTATCTTGAGTAACCGGATCATGATTTCTGGAAAGAGATATTGATGTTGAGTTTTTCAAATGTACTTTTTTGGCACTTTGAGCACCACAAGCCGAGTGCCATTTAGTTCCATTATATTGGAGAGAAGGCAGACATCTCTACAACCGATATCTCCAACACTCTGCAACTCACACCTAAACAATCTAAATTAATAAACAGCACTAGAGGTAAGAGGGAGAAATATGTATTTTTGATTTTGGGGTGAACTGTCCCTTTAAGAAGTAGGAGAATTTTCTCAGCCTATAAAGGAGCACTTCGTCATTCACTTATCACAAACATTCAAAGTCAACACGTGGATATACATGGTGTCACTGCTTCAGGACGGGGATGGAAAAGTAAATCAAGCTGTCAGACAAATAGGTCTATAGTGGAGTAGAAATAAAAAGCTGAATAAAATGGAAACACTCAAATTTGTACTTAAGTACAGTACTTGAGTCTGTCAGTTGGAACAAAGCACACAACACATAAAAAGAATAGTTAAATAATAAGATGAAACCCAAAAATACACAACAATATATCCATATCTTTTATTGTTGTCTGAGGATGAGCAAAGTACTGATGATGCAATCACCATTTAGGAAGGACCACACAGGAAGTAACATCACTTTGGCCACGGTAAAGTGGTCGAACTTACACAGTGCAAAATGCTCCGCTAAAAGCGTTACAACGCAACATGTCTTACACTGTAAATATACACGACTTATACAATATATTCACAAGTGAGGTGGGACTCTAAGACTCCAAATGAATGTTTGAAACATCCTCATATCAAATTGTAAAGTCATGCTCGTCACACAAAGTGCTGCGGTAGCCTACATCACTAGATGAAGCACAGAGGCGGTAAAGCAGAGGGGACGCAGTGTCAGGGTTTCTTTTATAGGCTACATCATTTGTAGAAAATAAGATTTTACAGCATGGCAGTGGTGTCGGTCATATATATCATATATGCTTTTATTCGTACCTTTCAGAGTGTGATTTTTTTTTTGTACACTTTATCTTTTTTTTGCAGTCGTAAAAGGTAGACGGATGTGATGTCGTTACCAGAGGTTCACATAGGCTTTCTCAAGCAAGAGTCAGAGGAGTAAGAAGTGAGGTTGCCTTCAGCTCTATAGGCACTCGTTTATCTGCATGCGTCGTCTTAACATGCCTCTCAGAGCTGAGTATATATATTTTAATCTTTTGAAAAACATCGCAGCTGATGTCAGATACAGATGTCTCACTGATGTAGAAAAGGTAGTAAAAGCCCTATGTGAGTGAGCTCCCATGGTTCATGAGGTTATGTTGTTTCAGTAGCATGCGAAAGCTTGATGTAGCCTATAGGATACTGCCCTGCCGCAGGGCTGCACAGTACTCCCACTCTCACGCTTTGATGCTGAGGCACGTAGCTGAATCTACCTTGTCGATAAATAAATGCACTGGATGCATGAAAACGGCGAGCCAGCCTGAGCTGCTCCGCAGGGATCTGAGACTGCACACAGTTTCAATACGGCCTGTAACTGTTCACGCTCCAGGTGAGCACGGATGCTACAGCAGAGGTGGGCTCGTTGTGACTGTATTTACTGCTGGGGATGGATTCAGTTTTCAGCACAGGAGAACCAAAGGAATCAATCACAAGCAAAGTGCAAACTCTCTTTCACTTCCAGCAAACTGAAGCAAATCCTCCCAGAAAAAAAAAACCCAACAACCCTCCACTCTGAATTAATATGCGACTCTGCAGTTTAGCAATCAGCATTAATCAGCATTTCTGTAAATGTACCAGATTTGCCCCGGAGGAAGCAATTTGGCCCCGACTCCCTGAGCTGAAACGAATCAAATGTTTATGACGAGAATTTTAATATCACTCATGTCTGAATGTGTACTGTCATGATACGGGAGTGCACAAGCAACTCAAGCTTTTTTTTTTTTTTGACGTGTGTGTGCACAGATTCCAGTACACATCACTATGTTTGCTGCACTTGTCACATTTTGGATTGGTTCAATCCCCATTTGGTTCAAACTGATTCAAAGAAAATGACAGAAATGGCACTTTATATAGAAGGGGATGACTATATAGTAAAATCCAGCCCCAATTTGTGGTACAAGTCACACATACTCTTAGTCTTCCAGTAACCAAAACTGACAAAGGTTCTGCAGACATAAGTCCTACCATCAAATCTGACTAAATATTGTCCTCTTTTGATTTTCATTTTTTATACTTTCAACTTGTATCAGTGCGGTCTGAAAACATAGTAACGATGATGAGTAATTCTTTACTCTGCAGTGTTGAAACAGGGTCTCTTTAGCAGCAGTTGTGTACATGCTCACAAACAGGGATCGAGCTCTGGTCCCTTGAAGCAGAAGCAGAATATTTCTCCTCCTCTTTTGGTTCGAGGAGAGTGTCTTTGCACTTTCAGTCCAGGTCGAGGTTTTGCTCAGCGATCAGTTTGGTCTTTTTAACAAAGAGCTACTCATGTCGAGACTCGCCCAGTCCGAGCCGTTTGTTTCCCCTAAGACTCTTCGGAGTTGGTGCTGGGATATCAAGATGAGGTTTAAGTTACGTGAGGTGGTGTTTGGGCCTGTCAAAGACTCAGAATGAGGATAAAAAGCTGGACCACATGCCTTTTTAGTGCGGTGGTGTCACTGCAGCTGGCATCCTCGACAGTCGTCCTCGGGCTCGGTGTTGTCGGAGGAGTAAGAGCTCTCCTCGCTCACTGTCAGACACAACACAGGCATATTAGACAGATGTATAATATAATATTTCAGTGGTTAGACACACAAACTTCAAGGACGAGTTCACCCTTAACTCTGAAATACATATTTTCCCTCTTACCTGTAGTGCTATTTATCAGTCTAGATTGTTTCAGTGTGAGTAACCGTGTTGGCCCTCTCGCTAATATAATGGAACTAGATGGCACTCATTTGCCACGCCAAACATTTGAAAAAACTCAACATCAGTGTCTCTTTCCATAAATAATGACCTGGTTACTCAAGATAATCCACAGACTTTGTTGTGAGCAGTTTCATGTAGGAGCTATTATCTTTTTACCAAACGACACCTGCCAACCGTATCACTGCGCAGAAGGAAACGTGCATCTACTGCTAGCTCACCTAGCACCACTGAGCTAGCTAACGTTACAGCTCAGCTGAGGAGGACGACATTAATGTTTACATCTCGCATATCTTGTCACAACCACAAGCCAATTGTCCATGAGTAGATGCACTCTTCCTTCTCTGCACTGCATCCTCATATAACAAATAAGTGCCTCATGAATGAAGCTAAATACTTAACGTAAATCAATGTAGGTTAGGTTTAGGAAAAGAAACATGGTGACGACGTACCTTAAAATACTTTAGTTACAAACACAGGTCTCTTAGGGGAAAGTCCTGTGTAGTTTGACTGGTCTACCACCCTATTTTGCGTCCTTACACAGACTTTTCGGTCTTTATACTACTCTTTCCACATGACGGCAACCTTCCCGATTACATGGGTTATACAGTACAGGCCAAAAGTTTGGACACACCTTCTCATTCAATGCGTTTTCTTTATTTTCAGTGTGTAGAAGTGAAGGGCATCTATTGGCAGAAATGGAATATAATATTCATAACTATGTTTTTATTAGTTTATAATCACCTGAAAATAAGAATCATTGTGTTTTTGTTACCTCAGAATGAGCTGTTTATATCTACTTATGGAGTAGCTCCTCTCCAAGACATGTTTCTGTGGGCCAGAATGGACAAATCAAACTCTAAATAGGGCCATTCATGTTTTCACATTTGCCAGCTTAGTTCTCCTACAAGTTTCAGTTCTGCAACCTCACTGCAAAATGCCATCACATCCTGCACACTAGACCTTTAAAAACGGCACTCAGCTTGGGGTGCTCAAAGTGCCAAAAACTACATTTTAAAAACTTAAGAGCAATGTCTCTTTCCAGAAATCATGACCCAGGTACTTAAGATAATCCACAAACCTTGCTGTGAGCAATTTCATGTAGAAACTATTTTCTTTCCTACCAAACTACGCCTGTCAAACGTATCACCGAGATAAGATATTAATGGCGTCCTCCTCGGCTGAGCTATAATATTAGCTAGCACACAAGTGTATGAGTAGTTGGCTGGTGCCGTATAAGGAACCATTTCCTTTCTATTGAACTACACCCACCAACCATATCACTGTGCAGAACAGGCTGTTCTCATGCATTGTTGGTACATGTACTCACAAAAGTAATACACCACGATTCATATACAGTACAGGCCAAAAGTTTGGACACACCTTCTCATTCAATGCGTTTTCTTTATTTTCATGACTATTTACATTGTAGATTCTCACTGAAGGCATCAAAACTATCAATGAACACATGTGGAGTTATGTACTTAACAAAAAAAGGTGAAATAACTGAAAACATGTTTTATATTCTAGTTTCTTCAAAATAGCCACCCTTTGCTCTGATTACTGCTTTGCACACTCTTGGCATTCTCTCCATGAGCTTCAAGAGGTAGTCACCTGAAATGGTTTTCCAACAGTCTTGAAGGAGTTCCCAGAGGTGTTTAGCACTTGTTGGCCCCTTTGCCTTCACTCTGCGGTCCAGCTCACCCCAAACCATCTCGATTGGGTTCAGGTCCGGTGACTGTGGAGGCCAGGTCATCTGCCGCAGCACTCCATCACTCTCCTTCTTGGTCAAATAGCCCTTACACAGCCTGGAGGTGTGTTTGGGGTCATTGTCCTGTTGAAAAATAAATGATCGTCCAACTAAACGCAAACCGGATGGGATGGCATGTCGCTGCAGGATGCTGTGGTAGCCATGCTGGTTCAGTGTGCCTTCAATTTTGAATAAATCCCCAACAGTGTCACCAGCAAAACACCCCCACACCATCACACCTCCTCCTCCATGCTTCACAGTGGGAACCAGGCATGTGGAATCCATCCGTTCACCTTTTCTGCGTCTCACAAAGACACGGCGGTTGGAACCAAAGATCTCAAATTTGGACTCATCAGACCAAAGCACAGATTTCCACTGGTCTAATGTCCATTCCTTGTGTTTCTTGGCCCAAACAAATCTCCTCTGCTTGTTGCCTCTCCTTAGCAGTGGTTTCCTAGCAGCTATTTGACCATGAAGGCCTGATTCGCACAGTCTCCTCTTAACAGTTGTTCTAGAGATGGGTCTGCTGCTAGAACTCTGTGTGGCATTCATCTGGTCTCTGATCTGAGCTGCTGTTAACTTGCGATTTCTGAGGCTGGTGACTCGGATGAGCTTATCCTCAGAAGCAGAGGTGACTCTTGGTCTTCCTTTCCTGGGTCGGTCCTCATGTGTGCCAGTTTCGTTGTAGCGCTTGATGGTTTTTGCGACTCCACTTGGGGACACATTTAAAGTTTTTGCAATTTTCTGGACTGACTGACCTTCATTTCTTAAAGTAATGATGGCCACTCGTTTTTCTTTAGTTAGCTGATTGGTTCTTGCCATAATATGAATTTTAACAGTTGTCCAATAGGGCTGTCGGCTGTGTATTAACCTGACTTCTGCACAACACAACTGATGGTCCCAACCCCATTGATAAAGCAAGAAATTCCACTAATTAACCCTGATAAGGCACACCTGTGAAGTGGAAACCATTTCAGGTGACTACCTCTTGAAGCTCATGGAGAGAATGCCAAGAGTGTGCAAAGCAGTAATCAGAGCAAAGGGTGGCTATTTTGAAGAAACTAGAATATAAAACATGTTTTCAGTTATTTCACCTTTTTTTGTTAAGTACATAACTCCACATGTGTTCATTGATAGTTTTGATGCCTTCAGTGAGAATCTACAATGTAAATAGTCATGAAAATAAAGAAAACGCATTGAATGAGAAGGTGTGTCCAAACTTTTGGCCTGTACTGTATATGAATCGTGGTGTATTACTTTTGTGAGTACATGTACCAACAATGCATGAGAACAGCCTGTTCTGCACAGTGATATGGTTGGTGGGTGTAGTTCAATAGAAAGGAAATGGTTCCTTATACGGCACCAGCCAACTACTCATACACTTGTGTGCTAGCTAATATTATAGCTCAGCCGAGGAGGACGCCATTAATATCTTATCTCGGTGATACGTTTGACAGGCGTAGTTTGGTAGGAAAGAAAATAGTTTCTACATGAAATTGCTCACAGCAAGGTTTGTGGATTATCTTAAGTACCTGGGTCATGATTTCTGGAAAGAGACATTGCTCTTAAGTTTTTAAAATGTAGTTTTTGGCACTTTGAGCACCCCAAGCTGAGTGCCGTTTTTAAAGGTCTAGTGTGCAGGATGTGGTGGCATTTTGCAGTGAGGTTGCAGAACTGAAACTTGTAGGAGAACTAAGCTGGCAAATGTGAAAACATGAATGGCCCTATTTAGAGTTTGATTTGTCCATTCTGGCCCACAGAAACATGTCTTGGAGAGGAGCTACTCCATAAGTAGATATAAACAGCTCATTCTGAGGTAACAAAAACACAATGATTCTTATTTTCAGGTGATTATAAACTAATAAAAACATATGAATATTATATTCCATTTCTGCCAATAGATGCCCTTCACTTCTACACACTGGACCTTTAACTTTGCAGACTACATATGAAAGTAAAGCTGTGTGACTTACACCACTCAGTCTGTATGGGGAGGAAGGCCTTGTCCCCGTTCTCTCTGATCATCTCCTCTATCTTATCCAGTAGGACTGACACACTCCTGTCCTTGCCAGGAGTCTTACTGTCCAGGACGTGGTAATAGTTCCCACAGTATTCCAGTAGTCTTTGCAGCTCCCTCCCTCCTCTAAGGATGTGCTCCTCGATGGGCGTGCGGCCCAGCCAATCACCACAGCTGAACAGCACCATGGTGTGGAGGCACGCGCTGTCCCCAAACAGAGTCTCTATGTGGGCCAGGAGTGTCCGCCTCTTCCTGGCGGTGAGGGATGACACGACGGGGAGGACTAGCAGCAGGGTATGGGGTCCAGGTCGCAGGAGGGCAGCCCCGCGCTGGGACTCCTGGCGGATACGCTTCGGGGTCCGCCTCACTGAGAACCAATCCCAGCCTGGGGTGTCGACAATTGTGATCCGACGGCCGGACACAAGCGCCTGCCTCCTGAGGCACAGCTCTGTCTCCTGGCCTGACTCAAAGTACCGACGACCCAGGATGGAGTTCCCCACTGAGCTCTTCCCAACACCCTTCCAGCCTAACAGGAGCAGTCTGAGCTCTGAAAACCATGAAAGACAGACAAAGGACGAGTGTGAGAGAATGAGACACCATTAAGATTAAAACACAGACAAAGAAAAACAATATTGATTGCCTAGGATGAGTAAGCTGTTTCCTAGAACACCAATTCTGCAGTTTCCTCTGGAGCAGCATTATGACACATATGCACTCATCTCTCTCCTTCAACGCATGACTCACTCACCTACACACACTCTAACACACAGTGACACAAACACGCAGTCCCCTCATACCTCTGGGAGGCCCTCCGATCATCTGCTCCCTCTGTCTGGCGTGCTCCTCCATCCTCATCCTCTCCTCCTCCAGAGCTCTCCTGGCCTGCTCCTCCTCCAGTAAAATCAACTCATTCACCTCAAAGTACCAGCCTGCGTGACAGTGACAATGAATTATTCACTGTCTTCAATCAGGTCTATAACACAACTGGTGTGTTCATTAATAATGCAGTGATTATTAATATAGAGAGTGCAGAGGGGATGCTTATTTGCTTTATCACAGCACAGGAGAGATGCAGTGATCATAGTATGAAAAACAAACCTTGGTTGTCAGTGATCATTTCCTCCACCTTCTCCATGAGCTCGGGGACCTGCGTGTTGTCTTCTGTGTCTTTCCGAGTGTTATCAAAAGCGTGGTACCTGCAGGTGAGGGAAAAAACAATTTAAAGGAACACTCCGCCAATTTCCAGATATAGTTCACTTTAGTCATCATGATGAGTCATGTTGTGTAAGGGGACGTACACATGCCGCATTTCTTTGTGCCCTCAGATTCTTTTTTTTTCAATATAGATGCAGGGCAACTGCGCTTAAACACCAGAGCATTGCACACGCGTTTCTGAGCACCTGAGTTCAACTTATGGAATGCAGCAGCATGCACCACATGTTACGTGCTGGGGAACAACCAATCACAGTCGTCAGACATCTTTCGCTTCTTCCGTAAATATCAATCTGTGGTAAATACACCTACACACTTAATAAACAACGCCTGGAAGACGATCAGCTCTGCACTCAGGATGTCATGTAAGTAGGCCATGCTACGGTGCTTGTTATGGTTGCTTGGCAACTTCAAATGCAATCTGTCTCGACGCCCTTGAAAGTTGGCACAGAATAGGCACAAGAGTCGCACACAGCGCCCGACCTTGTGTTTTCCAGGCGGTTAAAGGCGTGCCATGTGTACAGTCCCTAATGTATTCTGCGGCTCTGAAGGGAGCGTTTAAAAAAAAAAAAAAATACCCTGGTGATGTCATAGTGATGTCATCAGGGGGTACCGCAACTTGAGGTTATTAATGTGGACTAAAAGTTAGGATATCTCGACCTCTGCTGCTTTGATTTTGAGCGGACTACAAAAGTCTTGTAAGCTCACTTCTTTCTCCACAACCCCAGATACTTTTTTCATTTTCAAACTTTTAGACGTCAGACCCGCTGACACTGACTCACGTGACATCACTCTATAAACAGATCTGCATTTGGATGCACAGTGGTGTAGTGGTTGTTAATGAGGTGGGTGTACTGCTAGGTGGATGGATAGGTTACAGAGGAGGTAGTGGGTACACCCTCCCATATATTCCAATGGCTTTTTTGGCTGATAGGTGGGTATACTGTAAACAGCTAGAAAAAGAGGAGGGTATACCCCATATATCTGTGGGCACCCTCCACTACACCACTTTGTATGCAGAATCTGAAGGCAACTGTATAAGATTTTGCTATCAGATGCGTTCTGATTCTGTTTTTAGTGGTATTGACGAATCACATTTGAGTGGGATTTGATCGTCTGCAGGTGAACAGTTCATGTGGAGAGCAAAATAAGAGGAAAGCATTGGTTGAAATGCAATCTCAGAATGGATCGACTATTGTGTGATGACAATTTACCGTTTTTTAAATCTTTCTTCTAATTTCTGTGAATTCATATGCAGATATCTGTTTAAAGAGATTAGCCGAAATGTTGTCTGAACTGGTCTCAAGTTGCTTCAGAACTCCCAAAATTTTGCCAGTTGCTCCCAGAGGTTTTTTCTCCAACCACAATATTTGTGATTGTTTTGTGCTAACAGAGACTCGCCACAGCAGACCTTTGTGAACTCAAAGAAAGAAGAGTGAGGTAAACATCGCACCTGCTTCCACATCTCTCCACCAGCCACTGCAGGGCCTCTCCAGTGTTCGCTATGTGCTCCTCAATGAAGACCCCCTTCGGCAGCTTGTCCACCCCGGTAAACACCACCATGGAGTACCTCCAGGTCCCCCCACCCAGCGCCCCCAGCTGCTCCTCCGCGGCTCTCCTCTCAATGTCAGTGAAGGGCTGGGTGACCGACACCACCAGCAGGATGGCGTGGGGTCCAGGAGGGCAGAGAATGGCCCCCATGCACGGCCCCTCGCTGTCCAGGCTCGGCGCCGGCCGCTGTGGGTTGTCCAACTCTGCGGCGGCGTTGTCGCTGCTGTCAGCTTCGCCAGTGTCCTCCGGGTCGTTGGGGATGGCCCACGGCGGCGTGTCCACCACAGTGACCCGTCGGCCGTAGATCTCCGTCTGGCCCACATTGCTGTGAGTCGTCTCCGTCCCAGCGTCGAAGACCTCGTCGCCCAGGATGCTGTTGGCGGTGGAGGTCTTTCCAGACTGGGGCCCCCCGAGGATCAGCAGTCTGCGCTCAGGGGGGTGGCGGCCCCTGGGGTCCCCTGTTGAGACACAGAGAGATTAGACAGGAGGTTGCCCACAAGGATGGATTTAAGTTTGATTGTCTGACTGCTGCATGAAGCCAAGCAGTTGGCCGTCTGAGGAAATGATCCTAATCCTTTATTCTGTTCTGTCTCTGAAGGATTGCCTTGTCCACAAAGTGCTTTCCGGAGATGAGGAAACTTCATTCTTTCCACTGCAACATATAGCCCTATCCCTCTCCTCACTCAGATTTCCTCTTTGCGCCCTTCTTATCTGAGCTCCTTGTTACCTTATACCTCTTCTCCTTAACTGCCTCTTGTCCTTACCCCCTTCTCTCCCCCTAGCCTTCCTCCCAGCATGCCTCCTCTTTGTTTTCCTCTGTCCTTAGCCTTTGGAAAAAATTGGGTCAGAGAGGAGGAACCTTGGACTCCTTCCAAAAAGAAAGGCATGTGGACAGAATATGATTTAGTGAAAGTTGCATGAAGAGGACGAATGTTTTGGTCAATCATTGTGAAAGAATATGAATATTCGGAGGATGGAGAGAGGAGCAGCACTCTGTGCTGATGACAAGAGGGGAGAACACAGAGGGAGGAGAGGGAAGTTTATTGATTTACCCCGTTACTCACGGCTGCTGACACTTTCCATGTGAGCTGCTAAACACAGGAAGTTGACTCAAGCAACAGTTTCCCAGCATTGTGAATGGCCCCAACATGAAATGGCTCTGAGGGATTACGCCTGATGCTGTGCCTGACTGAATGGATGGTGATGATGGAGGGGGGAACCTGCGGGGACAAGGTGTTCAGCAAAGGATGAAAGCCCACTCACCAGTGTCAGAGGCAGAGGACACAGCAGCCATCTTGTGTGTAGAACCTCTGGCTTCCTCCTCCTCTGCCCCCCTCCTCCTTCTCCTTCTCGCCTCCACGGTGGATTCCTCTTCGTGCCCCTTCAGAAAGCGACGGATCCTGAGTGGTGTGTGAAAGGCTGGCAGCTCGAATGCTTCTTGGCTCTCTCTTTCACTCTCACCCTCATTCTACTGCAGTGGAACTCACTCTATCCTCTGTTCCCTGTGTCTGCCTCCCTTTCTCTCCTCATACCTCCTTTGCCATTCAACCTCTCCCCCTCTCTCTCCCCCTTTTTTTTTAATCTATTATCCTCCACACCCCCTCACCCCACTGTGGCTCTTCCCTGTCCTTTCCTCTGTGGCTTCTCCCCGTCTCCTCCGTCTTATTTATCTGTCCAAGCAGAGGGGAAAGATTGTGCAATGCAGGAGTCTGGAAGCCAAATCCACCCCTGCTGCAGCAGCTCCAGGAAGATGTCTCGTCATTTCTTTTTTTTAAGTCAAAACACAGGAAGCTGTTCCTCCCACTTGCCCGTATCACACAGCAGCAGCAGCAGCAGCAAGAGTGTGGCACTGTATGCAGACTGCAGTCAGGAGGACAGATAGAAAGATGGATAGACAGAGAGGGAGGGAGAGAGATAGAGAGGGAGCACAGTGTTCTCTCTCTGTTTACAGCTGGATGTATTCCCCAGCTGCTGCATCATGCACAAACACTACTATTTATATGATGCCTGCAGACACAGAAACATTGTGAGGGAGGCAGGGGGGGTATGTATACTGCATGAATAAATTTAAATATTGATATAAGACATGCAGCTACATCTTACATAATACATTAAAGCTCCCATAAATAGCAGATGACTGCAAGACGTTATCTAATTGCACTGAACTCAAAGCACTGTCACTGTAGTGTGAGTAATGTCTGAGGGATGCTGGGCTGAAACATTACATATATGTCATCCTGAATGTCTGAGCTCATCCTTGGCTCCTTAACAGATCAATTACACGCTGTATGGCGAGATACATTCACGGAACCGAGCTAAATCATGTAAGAAAGACTATCAAAAAAAAATAAGAGCTTTAAAAATGAACAATTAGCGTACTGGTACATTTTGTAGCGTCTCTTTATTGACGTACTTTCCCGCACAGGGGCGTTGTTTCAACTCTGTTGTGTCGCAGCTGTTTAAAACAAACAGTTGAACAGCAATTAGGCGGTCACGTACAGGCGCCTCTTTGCCGTACACCGCCACAAGCGTCGTGATCTTACCTCACGCCGTACGCCGACTCCTACTGCCGTAAAACCCGCTTCTTTGCCCATGTGATGCTACAAGCTGAAGTCGGCGCGGCTACTCAGGGAAGCTAGTGTGTGTAGCTGAAGGTGGAGGGCAGACTCTTGTGTTTAAGCAGACACAACCTCGTCTCACAATCATGGAGGGAGCCGACGAGTTCATGAAGTACCGCTCACCGCTGGTGTCCAGGTATGCCAGCAAGGAAATGGCGTACAACTTCAGTGACAGGAAGAAATTCACAACCTGGAGAAAGCTGTGGATCTACCTGGCCAAGGCTGAGAAGGTGTGTAGCTGCTTTACAGCAAACACAGCATGTGTCTTTGCCATTATTGTGCTTCTAAACACAATTTTTTCATGCTTAAGGTTTTATGAGCTGAAGTTTGCGACCTTCAGGAGCCATATTAAGTTTCCTGCTCTAAATATAGTTTTAAGGAGGACCCCCTTTAAGAGCTCTCTGCTATGCATGACTGTCAGGTCCTGAATGAAGCAGAGTTGTGTCTGCTACTTGTACTATACAACAAGCAGAAAGAAAATCCACATATAATGTAGAGAGGGGTTATTTTATCATGATTCAAGACTTTTCAATTTTGATTGGTGTAGTTTGCACAGAAACCATGTGTAAGTTTTAATGTATTTCGTGAATATGAATTTTAGCAATTAAAGGTCTATTGCAGGGGTGTCAAAGATACGGCCCGTGGGCCAGAACCAGCCCACCAAAGGGTCCACTCTGGCCCACTAGAGAACTAGACTAAGGGTTCGTCCCAATTAGAGATGTACCGATACCACTTTTTCCTTCCAGATAACGATATCGATCCCTGAACCTTAGCTATCTGCTGATACCGAGTACCGATCCGATACCAGCGCATAAAATAAAAATGGATGGGATATGAATTGTTGTATGTCTCAACTCCTAAAACTCTATGTAAAATATTAAGAAATAAATATGTAATAGTAGAATAAATGCCATAAAACTTTTTTTTATTATTATTATCCAGTGTTGACACAGATCAAGACACAGGTTAAAGTGCAGCCACACAATTTGGTAAAAAAAAAAATACATTTTAAAGGCTACAGTAGAATGCTTTTTAAACTCTGCTCCTTCTGTTTCGTTTGCCTGTAGTGTGCGTATGCGTAACGACGTGAAGCATTACGTGGTATCGGATTGGTCATAGGCTGTACTCACCGATACCCGATACCGCATTTTAGGCAGCATCTGAGGCATTTCCGATACTGGTATCGGTATCGTTACAACTCGAGTCCCAATACTCACACTTCCCCTCAAAATTGGCCCTAGCCCTTGTTTTGCACGTTCCTGCGAAGGGCTAGGGTGCTTCTCAGCCCGTAAAATCACCACTTAATTTGAAGGGCCGTGTGATGCATACTTGTGAACCCATCTCAACTGAGGGGAAGATTGAATTTCCCAGGTTGCATTGCAAAACTATCTAGCCAGGCGCGTTTTCCAGGAAGATGGCAGCCTCCATGAGAAAGCCATCGCAAAATTCAAGTACTATTTTCGCAAATAAACACGCAAAAATTCCAAAATATGTCAAAATGTGTTATGTTTCTGCACAATGCATTGTTATCTGTAAGTGTTGAGTTAGAATGTGAGTTCTCCGTGCAAGAAGCCTATTTCGATGATACGTGCGACCTAGGTGAACACGTCTGTTACGCTAATTTGCATGAAGTGGCATCCCAATTCGTAGGTAAAATTCCCTAACCCTCAACAATACCCCTTCATCATTGAGGGGAATCTATCTGGTGAGTGCACTTGAAACCAAGGGGTAAGGTTAAGGGAAGAGAATTGGGATTGGCCCAAAGGATGCTTTTAAACCTGCCCTGTTTGGTTCAGTTCAGTCAAACTCAAGTTCATTTGCCCCCTCAGTGCAGTTCATTTGGGCAGGTGTGAACACAGCAATCACACTCAGGTGTGCACCAAAACAACCGGACCAAGACCTTCTTGAAGAGGTGGTCTCAGTCTGGTTACAAACGAACTCTGGTGCGGTTGGTTTGTGGTGAGAAGGTGTTCCGACCTGGATGTGAAGCAACTGCAGTCACATGACACATTGTTTGGGTTAAACATGAGCATGTTACAGTCCTGGAGGATTATTAATGTGCACCTCCTCCTGTACTGCCTTAATATGCACATTCAGCACATCCAATGCATCAAAACATTGTTTTCTAGTTGGAGCCGCGCCTCGTTTTCAAACTGTATGCTTTGACTAAAATGAACAATGACAGCAATATAGTCCACGATGAGCAGCGCTAAAATCAACCTGCGTAGTTGTCCCTCCATTGTGACATTAGAAAGTGTCACATTTATCTTGCAAGTGTACTCTTCTTCAACGTTTGCTTTACTTCCTGGATTTTTCCCACATGGAAATTCTGACCAATCAAGAGCAGCTTTCTCACACAAGGCATTTGATCTGGTCCGCCTGTAAATGCTGCCGTGAGAACACGAACCAACTCTAGGCAATTATACAACTTTGGAACAAAATGAGTCCCTGATTCAGACCAAAGGAGACGACTCTAGGTCTGAGAGCACCCTGAGAGGTTCCAAGGTTTCAGGAGCAGGTTAAACAATGTGTTGCCTACTTCATGTAAGAGGCTTCAGAGGCGTCAGGGGCGTTTCCACCCTGACCAAGATACAGTTCTCTAATTAACAATGAATACTGTGACTATGTTTAAAGATACTGAAAAAAAATGCACTTATTTTTCTTGAGACATTTCTGTTCAATACCATAGATAAGGAAATGTAAATGGTATAATAGCCATCAAATTCCATACCTCGGTATACCGGTTTGTCAGTATACCACTGCAGCCCTTCTGCAGACTTTTGGATTTGTATTCCAGGATACCAAATAGTACTTGTTTCCGTGGACTGTTCATTAAAATGGAGGCTGGTAAAAGCACAAAGGTTATATTGCCCTGATTTTCTGTCCTTGTCTGTGGCTCTTTTCTATGATAACCAGAGACAGAAAACATTGGTCAAAAGCCAACTGTGTCACTGCAACAAACCTCAACTCTTCTCTGTTTGAGCTACTCTTCATTGATGTTACACACAGTTTCTCCATTTGTTCCCGCTTAAATAACTTTAAGGTTGTTAAAATCACTCACTGTCTGACATTTTCACTCATATTTCCTGTATCAGCTTATATACATATGTCAGATTATAAAACCAGAGATTCCATGTTTTCTATTGCTGCCCCACTCCATTAGATGGAAATATTCTACATGCATTGTGCCTAATTTCATACATATTTCCTCATAAATCAGTCTCGTGTATTTGGTTTCATTGGAAACTTGTGGTCTTCTGGAACTGACACTAAATGATTGTGGGTTTATAAAGGATGTTTGGCTGCACAGAGTGAGTCTGTAATGACTGATGGCTTCTGGGGTCGTTAGAAAACACCCTCTGAAACATCCTGACATTTAGCTCCCAAACTAAACAGCCATGGGATCTCTCAGCTCGTGTTTAGCACAGCGGGGTCAAAGATGATTATTATTTAACCGAGCAGAATTTTGAAGTTGCAGATGATTTAAGAACAACTATTAATGTAACCCTGTAGGCATCACAAAGGCTCAGACACTAATTCCTCAGAGTGAATTGTACATTTGTATATTAAAAACGGGCATGTGGGGGATTAACTGGAGAGGGATCCTGTCTCACATGTATCACCTCACATGACCACACAGTAATCAGATCTGATCAGAGTCCATCTTTTCTAGCTCTCCTGTATTTTGACGTGTTTTTCAGGGGTAAGCTTTGCCACAGTTTGCCTGGGCAGAGTTAGTGAGGCCTGTGGCTGCCGCTGTGTGGCTTGTGTATGAAAATAGCATGCAGAGAATGTCACAGTAACAGGAGACCGCCCCATGAGACGCTGCATGTTAATAGCCTGACATAGCTTCTGTAGCCTTTGTAGTTTTTTTTTTTTTTTTATCATTTCTTATGTTGGGTCACTATTTGCTTGCTCACAGTCTGACCTTTGACCCAGCAGGGTTTGACGTTGCTGTGTTGTAACATAGAGGGAGAGAGGTACATTTAGGGCTCAGTTTCTCAATTAAGTAGTCCCATCATATGACTGCTGTATCCTGATAGAAAAACTCCAATCTAATCAGGATCTCACGAGGAGAGCACATGCCTGTCAAGAGAAGGATGACTAATGTCACATCAGGCTGTCTGTCTACTGTTCAAAGATCTTCAAGTGACGTGATTTTTTTTTAATCTTAAAGGGACATTTTACTCCAGAATATTAAAAAATACTTATTTTTCCTCTTACCTGTAGTGCTTTTTATCAGTTTAGGTTGTTCCAGTGTG